AATCCAAAGAGATAAATAAAGTTGAGTCTTTGGATATCCGATTATTAATCAATTAATTTTAAAAATAATCAACCGATTCATGGATTTGAAAAATAACCATTAGTTGCAGCCCTACCTTGAACAACTTTAACTGACTGCACAAGAACGCCTCTTTTAATAATTGTGACTTTTCTAATCTTAGACGAAGTAATTGCAGTTGGAGGTTTTTGCAGATGTTAGAAATAGCCCAATCAGGAAGAGGTTTTACCTTTTTGAAGTGAGTTGCTGATTGAACCCTCCTGACAGGCTGCATGAGGGCGTCTCTGACGATCACACTGATGTCTGCTCCAGAGTAGCCGTCTGTCTTCTTTCCCAAAGTGGCAAAGTCCTCTTCTGTCAGGTTGTTGGGGGTGGAGCCCAGGTTCAGCTTGAACATGAAGGAGCGGGCATGCTCCTCTGGCAGAGGAATGTAGATCCGCTTTTCAAACCTAACAGCAGAACAAAGGCTTCAGTAAAGCATCAGCAGACCTTTATCTTTTAGCGTTCTCACAATCCAGACAAAGGCCAGTTGTGAGAAAACCCTGCTGATGAATTATAAGGGTGGAGAAATGGTTTTAAAAGCATGCTACGCTAACCTTCGTCTGATGGCCGAGTCCAGCGTCCAGGGAATATTTGTGGCTCCCAGAACCAGGATTCCCTCGTTGTTAGTACCGACGCCTGAGGGGAGAAATGAGCTGCAACAATCAGAACCATGAGCAACCAAAGATAAAACATTTCCTTTTTAACTGTGATTTTTTTTATTTTTGATTCATTCCTGGGACAAGTGCCTCTAAGTAAACAGTTTGCTGCCTTGATTCACCTCATTGCAACTCAAACAGAAGCATTGTCAGTTTTCTGTGCCTGTTTTATGATGATTTTAAAGGTCCTCATAACTGTTGTTAATAACAAAATAACTTTTAAGGCTAGGCTTCAAACTTTCCTTTTTGATAAAGCTTCTAGTTAGAGTGGCTCAGGTTATCCTGATCTATCTCTATAGTTCTGCTGCTATAGGCTTAGACTGCTGGAGGACATAGGGACCCCTTTTTCATCATTCTGCTTCATTCTATCTCTATTCTTTAAACGGTATTTTATGTTCAGTTGTAATTTGTTGGCTTGTGATAGGCTTGTGCAAAAAAATAAAACACCTCTTCTTCTTGAAAATGAAAATCTAATTTTTCTTTAGCATGTTTCTTCCTGTTCAAAGGGAGTTTTTCCTCTCCACTGTCGCTACAAGCATGCTTAGTGTGAGGGATTGCTGAAGAGTCAATGAGTCGATGCAATCAGCTGGTTTTCCTTAGATAGAAAACTTTGAATCAATCTGACTGGATGATCTGGTGAACTGGAAAGTGACCTGAGATGACATGATGTGAATTGGAGCTATAGAAATAAACTGAATAGAATTTAAATTAATAGTTATGAAGCTAATAGTGGTAGCATTAGGATATATTTAATATTGACCTTTTTAAGCATTTAAAAATCTGTTATTCTACTTCTTAATGCATTTATCACACTTATATGATGACCATTAGGATTGTTATTATAGGGAATAACCCAAGTCGCAGTACTAGCATAGAAGTCGGAGGTCTTCTGTTTATATATTTGTTTAAACCCATTTTTTTTTTACTGAACTATGACAGGAACCTGGTTAAGTGGCCTCGTATGTCGGTTACCTTGCATCTGAACCAGGAACTCCGTCTTGATCCTGCGAGCCGCCTCGCTCTCATTTTCACTCCTGGAGCCACAGAGGGAGTCGATCTCATCGATGAAAATGATCGACGGTTTGTGTTCTCGGGCTAAAGCAAACAGGTTCTTCACCAGCCTAGAAAGAGAGCCTTTAAATTAAAACACCACTGCTTTCCTTCACGGGTGCATTTTGATCATCACCCAAACCAGGAGCTCACTTTTCACTTTCCCCCAGCCACTTAGACACCAGGTCAGAGGAGGAGACGGAGAAAAAGGTGGAGTTGTTTGCCTCTGTAGCTACGGCCTTAGCCAGGTAGGACTTCCCTGTTCCTGGAGGACCAAACAGGAGGATTCCCCTCCATGGAGTCCGCTTCCCTAAACAAACACAGTCAGTTTATATCTACAAACAGTTTGCAGATTTTACTAATTTAATTTTTTTGTAAAAACCTGTGAACAGATGAGGGAATTTGATGGGCAGGATAACAGCCTCTTTCAAGGCTTCTTTGGCTCCTTCCAGTCCTGCAACATCGTCCCACTTAATATTTGGCTTTTCCATCACAATGGCACCTAAACAGAGGAAAACAATCGGTCACTCACCAACTCAGATCTCTGGTTTTTCAAATAACAGAATATAATTTCATAATTTCATCCACCTGAGAGCTGATTTTTGAATTTCTTCTTCTCCCCTCCGTCCCCCTCATCACTTTCATTCCTAGAACATAGCAAAGGTTAGCTGACACTGATATCTAAAAGAATACTGCTTTGAATTACACATTTAAAATGACTACTTATTTAATCCCACCCCTTCTGCAAAACCTTCTTAGTTAAAGCATGGTTAAAAGGTTTGCACCAGTAGGATACCAGTTTATTTCTGTTGGCTGTTCTCACCCTTTATCCCCAGACTCTTTGACAGGTTTAGGCGGAGGACTCTCCTCCTTCTTCTTCAGATACACCTTCAGCTGCTCCGCTCTGTCCAGGTAGTCGGCACACTTGGCCCTGATGCTCTGCTTTGCTCGCTCGCCCTGCGCTTCATCTGCAGCAACATCAGGTGAGAGAATCAGATCAGAGGTCGTTTAAAATAACATCTAGCTGTGTGTGTCAGTGAGGGGGAACAACCCAGATTCCTTACATTTGACAACATGTAGGAAGTACTGTATAGCGTGCTGATAGCATCTGAGGGCCTCCTCATAGTTCTTGGCTTTGTCCTCCTCTGCCGCTTTGCTGGCCAGATCTATAGCTTTCTGAGGACAACAAGTATGGCAGAAAATTCTATTCAGTTTATTTCTATAGCTCCAATTCACATCATGTCATCTCAGGTCACTTTCT